ATTTTGGAATTCTTCATAAATAAGAAATCACTTATGTAAGTTTATGATGGTTGTGAAAGACTGCTAATAATACATCAGACACTTCTTTAACTTATACCTGCTTGTTGCTTCTACTGGAGCAGTACCCAAATGTTTGGTTAAAATATACCTTCTTTTATGCTAGTTTCACTCTTTAAGTTTTTGCACTCCCAAGTACCTTTCCTTAAAATAAATCCACGAGATGATAATGGGGGTCAGGTCCCAGAAGTTCTTGGATCCTTTTGCTATGCTCTGGAGTCCAGGCCACATGTCACACATATTTAAAACTGTGTAAACAGTAATAAATTTCAAGTATTTAATGATGAGATAAATTGTTTTCAACAATTTTCTAAGAATGTCTTTTTTTTTTTTTTTTTTCTTTTTTCTTGTACCAGCTGCTGTTCGCGCCCAGGTGAAAGTCATGATCACGCTAACAGAACTCAAATGCTTAGCAGATGCCCAGTCATCCTACCACATACTAAAACCATGGTGGGATGTCTTCTGGTATTACCTCACCATGATAATGCTGCTAGTTGCTGTGCTTGCTGGGGCTCTCCAGCTTACTCAAACCAGAGTATTGTGTTGTCTTCCTTGCAAGCTAGAATTTGACAATCATTGTGCTGTGCCTTGGGATTTAGTTAAAGCCAACCTTAACATGTCAGCTAGCTCGACAGCACCAATAATCATCCCGCTTAAAATCCAGAATTATCTCCATCGGCAGCAGTATTCCTACATTGATGCGGTCTGTTATGAGCGACAGCTTCACTGGTTTGCCAAATTTTTTCCATACCTAGTGCTTTTGCATACTTTTATTTTTGCAGCTTGCAGTAATTTCTGGCTTTACTACCCTAGTACAAGTTCCAGGCTTGAGCACTTTGTAGCCGTCCTTCAGAAGTGTTTTGACTCTCCCTGGACAACGCGTGCCCTCTCAGAAACAGTTGCTGAGCAGTCTGCGAGGAAGTTGCCGATAGCCAAATCCAAAACAGTGATTTCATCACCTCAGAGTTCAGGAGACATAGGGGCCAGCAGACAGTCCCTGCCATATTCACAACATGGCTTGGAAACAACTGGAAGAGAAAATTCAAGTGTTCTTGACAAAAAAGAAGGGGAGCAAGCTAAAGCTATATTTGAAAAAGTGAAGAAATTCAGAGTACATGCTGAAGAAAAGGATGTCGTATACACAGTGTATATGAAACAGATTATAGTGAAAGTCTTTGTAGTTGTCATAATAGTAATTTATGTCCCCTACTATTTATCATTTATTACACTTGAAATTGATTGTGTAGTTAATGTTCAAGCCTTTACGGGCTACAAAAGGTACCAGTGTGTTTATTCGCTAGCAGAAATTTTTAAAGTTTTGGCTTCATTTTATGTTGTTTTAGTGATTTTCTATGGATTAACTTGTACTTACAGTTTGTGGTGGATGTTAAGGAGCTCACTTAAGCAATACTCTTTTGAGAAGTTGAGAGAGAAAAGTAATTACACTGATATACCTGATGTGAAGAATGACTTTGCATTTATTCTTCACTTGGCAGATCAGTATGATCCTCTTTATTCCCAACGATTCTCAATATTCCTGTCTGATTTGAGTGAAAATGAGCTCAAACAGATAAATCTTAACAATGAATGGTCGGTGGAAAAACTGAAAAATAAACTAGTAAAAAACTCCCAAGACAAGACTGAACTTCACCTTTTCATGTTAAATGGTCTTCCAGACAGTGTCTTTGAACTGACAGAAATAGAAGTCCTAAGCCTGGAACTTATTCCTGAAGCTAAACTTCCTTCAGCTGTGACCCAGCTTGTCAATCTTAAAGAACTCAATGTTTATCATTCATCACTAACAATGGATTATCCAGCAGTCAGCTTTTTAGAAGAAAATCTGAAAACCTTGCGTTTGAAGTCTAGTGAGATGGGAAGAATTCCATTTTGGGTCTTTCATCTAAAAAACCTACAAGAACTGTGTTTAACAGGATATTTCATGCTAGATCATCACAATTCCATATACAGTGATGGCTTTCAGGGGCTAAAAAATCTGAGATCAATTCACTTAAAAAACAACCTTTCCCGTATACCTCAAGTGATTACAGATCTTCTGCCTTCTTTACAACACTTGTCTATCAACAATGAGGGAAATAAACTGATAGTGCTAAATAACCTGAAGAAGCTGGTAAACCTGAGGACATTGGAACTAATCTGCTGTGATTTAGAGCGCATTCCCCATTCCATTTTTACCCTAAACAATTTGCATGAAATTGACTTAAAAGAAAATAATCTCAGAACAGTGGAAGAAATAATTAGTTTCCAACATCTTAAGAATCTTTCTTGCTTAAAATTGTGGCACAACAGTATTTCATATGTCCCAGTGCAGATCGGTGCATTATCAAACCTGGAACAGTTGTATCTAAACTATAATAATATTAAGAATGTTCCATTGCAGCTATTTCTTTGTAGAAAGTTACACTATTTGGATCTTAGCTATAATAAGCTAACCTCCATCCCTGAAGAAATCGGTTATCTGACCAACCTGCAGTACTTGGCTTTGACGAAAAACCATGTAAGTAGAACTTTGAATTACTGCTCAAAAACAAAAATAGACTTAAGTTGCTCTTTCTTCTGGAACAGCCTCTAGCTTTTGTGGTGTTCATGATTAAAGTAAATCCAGAAAAAAGGGGTGGTGCTTGTTTAATTACTAAAGCTTTGGTATCAGCAAAGCTCACATAATACTGAATAAGTGCTGTCCTGGTTTGTAGCGACTTAAGGGCTTTGATCCAGAGATGGTATAGGTTTGCATGGCTGCAGAAACATATATTCCCTTTCCCTGCAGTTGTCAATCCTATGTAGCATTTTAATGGAAGTGAAGAGTGTTTAATGTTAACCTTAAAGCATCAAACTGAAAGCTCAAGTGAATGAACAGCTGGTTGATGAGCAGCTCATGTGTATGATTGGGAAGAGGGAAATAATTATGGTGGGTAACCTCACAATCAGTGCTAAACTGTGGCTTGTTAGTGTGGGGCTCAGGCTTGTGACTTCTTTTGAGGTTTATAATTGTTTTCATTGGTGAGGCTGATATTACATCAGTAGAGTGGGCCAGGATGACTGTGCTGCGCAGATAACTGCTTGTACAGGTTTCACAACGCAGGAGCTGCTAATGCCTCTCCACAGTCTGTGCTTGTTCCTCATTAAGCGATTCCTAGGAACAGTAGGCTCCTTCTCTCCCCTGCACACATCTGCACACATCTGCAGGTCTGTGTGCGTGCATGGATGTGCTCACCCTTCCAGGCTTGGCTTGTGCCACGAGTTAAGCAGCTTTGTAAGAAAACAGGGGTAATAAAATTATTGTAGTGCTCTCAAGCACTTGATCACATAATGATAGAGGAGTTACAGTCTTCCTTTTCCTTTCATAAACTAAGAGGGTTTTTTATCCTAAAATAAAAAAGGGAAATGTCAAAACATGCAACTGCACATAGGCTGACAATTTCTAATGTACTTTATTTTTGTTCTTCTCTCTTTTTCTAGATTGAAATGCTACCTGATGGATTATTTCAGTGCAAAAAGCTGCAATTTCTTCTTCTGGGAAATAACAGTCTGATGAATTTGTCCCCCTTTGTGGGTCAGCTACTGAATCTTGTTCATTTAGAGCTCATTGGAAACTATCTTGAATCACTTCCTGCTGAACTGGAAGAATGTCAGCTCTTAAAGCGAAATAATCTAATTGTAGAAGAAAGGTTGTTAAAAACACTTCCACCTCGTGTAAGAGAGCGTTTGCAGGCATGCTCAGATAAGTCCTAAGTTTTAAATTAAACTCTGCATCATTGCATTCTACAAGTCTTGCTTAATATCTCTCTAAAATCTGTGTAGGTAGAGAGGAGTGAAGGAGAGAGAGCAATTTACGAAACAGTCTTAACCTTTAATGCATCGAACTGAGTTGATTGTATTGGAAAAGAAAAAATTATTCACATTCAAACAAAAGATGCAGCCTTTTACAGGTAAACATGTTTGAATGTTGGAACGTGAATTGTTGGTTAGGTTCTACTGATTGAAATAATTCAGCTAAATGTTTATGGTAGTATTGAAAAAGAAGACATGATTGCCTGGCTATAGTGAGTGTATATACTTTTTTCCTATGAGAATTTTTTTCTGTTGGTAGTGATGATTTTAAATAGTTTTATCTCCTGCCATATGAGGTCTAAGAACTGACTGGAATTAGTTTCTAAATATGAATTTTCTAACTTAGGATGTATTAAATTAAAAGTTTAAACTATTTGAGCAGTTTAATTGCATGGGGTATACCGAAAGTAATTTGTCAACATAATTTTTAAAAGCTTTTGACAAGTACTAAGCATTAATTCTATGATTGTGGAAGATGCCATTTGAATCTTGCTATTAAATACCTAGAACTGGTTTCAGCATTTTATCTTAAAAATAGTAAATACAAAATTAATTGTTGCCTAGAAATTGGGAGGAATCAGAAGAATCTGAAGTAACTGTTGTGCGTATGTCCTAGAGAACCAATCTGACATCACTGATCTTCAGAAACAATGATGGCAAACAGAAAACAGTGTAGTTGCAAGGTTGTCTTCTGTATGTTGTGAGCATCCCAGGTGTTAGTGTAGTGTATGTTGCTGATTAATATTTTTATAACTTCTCATTACTGACTGCCTCAGTGCAGCTTCTCCACACCCAGTTATTGGGGAGAGGATGAAGGAGGTTTGAAGTTTGCATTAGATAGGGACAGAAAGACAGATAAAACAAACTAAATACTCACACAATTTTATAAGCATTTGAGAGGAAAAGACAGGAAGCATTATAAGCTTTGCCTCTTCTAGGGATGTAATAATTTCATAAATCATAGTGGTCGGATAAAATCTTATGCCATCCTTAATACTTGCAAAACTGGATGGAAATAAAATGTTTCCTGACTTCATTCTTCTGCTGTGCGCTGTTTTATTATATTTGAAGTCTTAATTCTCATTATGTTTATCATGTTCACTAAAAACATAAGTTATGACCCTGGGGAAAGAAGAGGTTAGCATGCTTTCCAAAAACACATTTTAAAACTTTGACATAATAGAGCTTTCAAAAATCAATCTCAGTTATGGGTTAAACAGATGAAATAAAACTGTGCCCTTAACAACTTGGTGTTCAAGAAGTGTGCTAACAAACTGCATTCCAGTTTGTAATAGCAAATCATCACAGATAAAACTAGTTTTAGTAGTAGACTACTTTTAGTCATCTCTTGCACCCATTCTACTGCCAGTTTTATGGAGTGTAAGGTTTATTTTGAATGAAATTGCCCAAACAAGTCTGATCAACATGAAAGTAGATGCCTTTGCAGGAGCAGTACAAGAGGTGCGTTTTTATCCTCTGTACTGATGGCATTCCAAAGACCTTTGTTGTTGAAGCACTTTTCTTCTCAGGGAACCAAAATGTGGTAAAACTATTGCTTTCTATGTAGTTCTATAAATGTTTAGTTTAAACTGATTAGTTGTGTTTATGTGCAGACCAGTGCTGCTGGAACAGTGTTTCATAATGCCCATATGTAACTCCTCCAAACTCTGTTAACTAATTTTGAGTTGTATAACAGTCCCATAGAAATTGACATGGTTCATCAACAGAACTAGTTGTGGTACATGTAATTAAACCACAATGCATTGATTTACACCCCTGTGGCAAGACTTGTGTTAATAATTGCCATAGGCCTGTCTGGACTTCATAACTCAACATTCAAGAACACTTTATGCCAGAATTTGCAGTCTAATAATTTAGATCAGATTAAATGAGTATTTTCTTTAAATCTTTTTTCTAAATTAGGAAGCTGTGTTGAAAAGGTTAAATCAGCAACTAATTGACTTGGTCAATAGCTTCAACTTTTTAGGAATGCATCAGTCCTTTTCCATTATCAGCCAAACTGATGAAGGTGAAAAATTATCTTAAGTGTGCATTTTACACTAGTTCTGTCAGGAGTGAAGTAACAGAAATAACTTGGAGAAAGGTACTTCATTTCTGAAATGGTAGAGGCTTTGAGGAATCACTCAAATGCATAATTAATAGTAATATCATTTTATAGGCTAAATGGGTTAGATTTTTTGCAGACTTTAATTTGTTCACTCTGCACCCCCTCAGGAGGGTTGGATTCTTTTAGCTGCATGTTTGGTTGTTTAAAAAACACCCAGACAAAAGCCGGAAAGTGTAAAGGCTATGATATCTAGCCTTGTTTTCAAACCACAGTGTGCCTTTACTATCCCTTTTGTACCATGAAACCTAATCCAAGTGCTTAGAATTGAGGATGGAAACAAATGTAACTCTAAATTCCTTGAATTCACTTCAGCCATTACCTTAATATTCACTATTTCTTCAAAACAAGGGAATTTTCAGGGAATCAATTTATGAATCCACTGTCAAACTTTGTACAATAATATTGTTGGCATCTAGTCTTTGTATAAATAATCACTTCCAATCAAAAAAGGCTTTTCAACTTGTTTGTGTTGTATTGTGTTTAAGAACTTTGTATTGTGACCTTCCGTATCATGAACATTTTGTTTAAAGATTAAATTTTTGTTTGCATTACAATTCTATGAACTGTTCTTTATTTTTCATAAGAGATGTTGCATTTAATGCAAAGCTCAGGAGTTTGCTTCCAGCTGTCCAGCTGTGTTGTAGCAGGTCTGTGTTCTACAGGAAAGTGAAGATAATGAACGGCAGTAGGAAATGAACGCTATGGTCCACATCAAAACAGTTTTCATATTCTGGATTTGGAGAGAAGTTCTTGTGTTGACTTAGAACAGAGCTTCCTTCTTAATTGTTGCTACAGAACCTTTTCCAAGTCTCCCACTTTAATTTTTGTCAGCTGGGTAAGTATCAAATGCAGACTGGAATTGTACTGGGAGAACAGGTTGGCAGTGTTTCTTCCTCAGCTTGGCACGTACCGCTGTTGTGTGGCTAAACTGCCATTAATAATGCTGCTCATGGTAAATCATGAATGTATTTCAAGTACTGCATGTGATGTTAGCTCAAGCATCTTGTTTCTCTTGAAATGCAAGATGATACCTGATGGCATTTTCTGCAGGCCTGGGTTTGACTCCATGTTCTTTAAACAAGGGAAAAAGCTCAGACATGCAAGTAGTGTTACATATTCAAGTGCTAGCTTTTTATTTTTCAAAATAAGAACCTTCCTAGTAACTTCTACGGAAATGTGGCCCTTTCTTCTTGGACATGAAATGAAATAACTAATAAAAATTTATGCAGCTTACCTGTTTTGAGAAGATAGTGTTAGTAAAATAAAGCAAGTGATGATTTTTATAACTTTTTCATGCTTCTACAGATTTTTGTATTTTGTTTTCATGGCAACTTATTGTCACTCTAATAGCTTAATTTTTTTAGTCAGTAGATTTTCATCATGGTAACATACTTCCTTGGTTATGTGGCTTTTTCACCTTCAAGACTGTAATCTGAAGTTCATTCCGTAACCATTTCTAATAAGTAACTGTCTTCCTTTTCTACCCCAATAAATGCCAGGATTAATGAAAACAATGTGGGAGCAAATATATGGCTGCAAGTTCTGAAAGCAGGAGGCAGTTCATGTCTTCCTGTGGATTGTTTCTAGGAAGAATTTTGCAGAACTCTGACTGTTTCTGGAGATTGTGATTTAATCAAGATCTCACACTTTATTTGGCCTTGTTGGGTGGGCAAGTTGCTGAAATGTGCAAACATAGTAGTGCATTTCCCAGAGGGATTGCAGAGACTGCAGTGTATCTCCAGCCTGATAGCGAGTAATGTAGGCTGTGGCAAGGGAGAGGGAATAGTAATTGATGGGAAGAAATAAGCAGTGATACTGTGGTCCTATATGCTTGCAGGATGCAGCAATGTTTCAGGAATTCCTGTGTCTGGAGAAGTCTCCATCCTGGCGTTACATGAAGACTCTTTCTGCTCCATTGCTAGGACACGTAGGTGATGCAGGGGGCAGTAGCGACCCACTCTGGGGCTGGACTGGCATCTGCAAGGGTTCAGGCATGATCTCAGTCCAGTGCGTTTATTAAAGGAACCATTACATCTTTGTCTTGTTGCTTCTTTATGTTACTCCATTTATGTGATATTCATTCACTCTTTGACTTCTAATAACCTATAATCTGTTGTTACTTTGTACAAATGTGCACTCTGCTTTGTAGGAGCCAGCTAAAAGACTTTCTGCTCATATGGATATGCAAGTCATATGCATTTAACACTTGGAGATGTGGAGAAAAGAGGATGAAAATTAGTCTACCTGCAGAGAGAGGGGAGAGGAATAATTGCTTCAAGTAACAGGAGAGATCTGAGAGATCATTATTACTGCTTAGCTCAGCAAGGGTCTTGGGAAGTGTTTCTTGGGCAGTATAACCTGCCCATAGGCGGGTCTGGCAGCGTGGTGCTTAACACAGGGGGGTATCAGTCTGTAGTGCTCATAGGCCTGCTGTTAAACAGGTACATTTATTACTTGCTATTGCTTTCTTCCTCTTATGAAAATGCTATTTCTGTATTTTCTGCTACTGTTTATAAGTGTTACTTATAATACACTGAATAAAAGTTACTTCTTTTCCCCTTCCTCATACTTGCATATCTATCTATTGCAGAACCAATACTCTTGTCAAAAGAAGTTGTAAAGCAAGTATTTGGAAAGTGTGGAGGGATGAAAACTGTAACAGGAGGTATGTAGAAAAGTCAGTCAGTGCAATCTCCCTGCCAATGCAACCTGAAAATCCCTCAAGTCAGGGTTCAGGATTCTATTATATGGATGGCAAAGAGGAAAAAGGAATGTAGCTCATTACTCTTCATTGCAAACATAGCTAGCCTGCAAGTGTATGGTGAATTGATTATCATTTGGAATTGGCCTTGCTCAGTAGCAGAAATGCATAAAATTGTGATGAGACAGTTGGGTGAGGTTTTCTAGTGATAGCTAAAGGTAATCATCATCATTGGGGAGGTTCCTCTGACCTCTGTGCTTTCGCCCTCTGGTCTAACCATTGTTTCAGCTTTTGCTGGACCTTATGCTGAGCTGATTCTATGCAAAAGCCTGGCAAAACATTTTAGTGTACTAGTTTTCTGCTGGTTTAATGAGCAGAATTAGTCTGGTAGAGTCTGGCAAGCACCAAAAGCCAGTAAAACAGGACAAAGATCAGTACCCCCCTTTATGGTAACTGCTTAGGGTGCAACTTTGTATTTGCTTGCAGAGTAATTATCCTTGGCTGCCTCTTTGGTTTTTGTTTTTTAAAAATTGTAGTACATTACTACAACCAAATGGGCATGACTTCTTTACATGGATTATAATATATATACTATATATATATATATATATAGAGCTACATATACGCACATACATAGATATTGAATGCTGATCTGGTATTAAACAGGCTTAGGACACACAAATATACTAAAAATGTTTATCTAAAATAAAATATTAAGAGATGGAAAGTATAAGGATAGATTTAAAAACAACTTTTCAGGAGTTTGTAAATAGCATGTCTTGAACAATTGTTATCAGATAACAGATATGCTCAGTTGTTGTGGCCACAGTGGTTGCCTGAAAATTTCAGGACAGAAGGGGAAATACACATCCATGATGTGTAACCCATGAGTACTGGTGAATATGTGGTCTCATTAATCCCCAATACTCTGTTTTCCTTGGGTTGCTTGTGTTTTATCTAGATTAGTGCTCTATTATGGAGCAGTGCCAGTAATTTCTGTGCTCCATAGGAAGTTTTCTGCTACTTGGCGATGATTCTGGTTCTCCAGCAACAGTTGCTGAATTGTATTTCAATGTGCATTAAGGTGACCCAAAGTTGGCATTGCTTTTTATGAGGTGGACAAAGTGGCTGTGTCAAAGCAGCAGAGTGTAGTGTAGGTCGAAAACTACACTACAAGAGGGGAAAAGGGGAGAAAAGCTAGAGCAGCTGTTGTAGAGCAAGTAATTTTCACTGCTGAATCAGTTCCTTAATCTGGCTGATGACAGCTACTGATAGTTTTTCCTTCAAAGCAGTGTGTTCCATTAAAGAAAACTGCTGAAGTAACTTGAGGGCTGTGCAGGGGATTGATTCTGTAAGGTGCTGAGTTTTTGAGTAACTGCTTAGTGAGTGTACTTGACTCCCACCCAAAGCCAGTGGAAGTTCAGGGTATTCATACTATTCCAAATGACTCTTTCAAGTTATCCAACTTGTTCTTCAAGATGTCTCGGTAAAAGGATCTTGTAAAACAAAGATTTATTTTCTTTCTGTTCTGTGGTTATAAATTATGACATATGCATGAAAAGAAAATAGGTAAGTTTTCTGTTACAAAAAACAGCTAGAAACAAGCAACAATGTCAAAGGCAAGTACATGTGAATCTTATTTTGTTTAAATCTGTTTTTATGCCAACTGTGTGTCGTTTTGCTGGCTTGAGAAATAAATCCACTAAACAGTCTGAACTGATAATGTATTCTTTCCTGCATTGCTTCAGATAAAACTGATAAACTTTGGAACAAAATCTTAAATTTACTGAGTCTTGCTTTCACCTATAGCAAGGCGGATTTAATAATGCTAGCACCTTATAAAGACAGGTTGATTTTCATTGCCATAGATTTGCACAGATCCACCAAGATACAAACAGAGCCTCATATTCCATAGCAGAAGAGACTGAAATTCTGCATAATGCTTCAGGTTGCAATAGGCTACAATATATAGCTATTTATTATTTTTAAATGGAACCTTTTAATAGGTTAAGCTCACAAATAAAGATTAATAGTCGATAGAGTAGTGCTTCTGATACCTTGATGAAAAGTGGTGCGTGTTTTACGCTGCCCTGCACTTAGTTCTTAATATATCAAAGATGTTTTTACTGGAAATGCACAACTGTCAGAGGGAAGCTGAAGCAGTGAGCAGATGGGGAAGTGGAATATGCACATGAGCTGAATGTTATTGAGTCAGCAGTGAAGTAGCAAATAGTGCATGACAACTTGTCTTTTAAGACTTCAGGCCTAATCAGTTCAGATCTCAGTCATTTGCTTCCTTGGAGTATTGCTCCAGGACACTACAAACTCAAAACAGAAGTGGAGCAGAGTACAAGTTGATGTTTGGGAATTTTTTTTCCCTGAAAAAAGCTGCTGTTTTGTTCTGTTTTGGGTTGGTTTGGGGTTTTTAACAGAAAATAACAAACCTGTGCTGCAGAAGTCTGCTATGGTTAATAATGCTTTGAGCTCCATTGAGTTGCAAAATTCCTCTTGCATTTTTCACAATTTTCTGTCTTCAACTGTGTGCCATTTGATTTCAACTGCCTTTGCTCATTAACAGCCCACCCCTAAGTGAGTTTTAATCATAATAATCATTCCTTAGGGCAAAGGAGTCCCCTAAAGCTTCTAGATGACAGAGAAAATTATCTCCTGTGTGTCTAGGTAAACATTCCTTTGGCTTCTGTACTGAGGTCGGGGAGATACTAAATCACTGTGGTTGCTGTCTCTCCCTTAGGATCCACCGTTGATGACAAAATTACAACCTGGTATGTAAGAGAATGCAGGCTTGTGCTGGCATGAGAGAAAGAGCTGGGAAGGGCACAGTAGGGCTGATTATTTCAGTGGCTGTGCCACTTTTGGTCATCTGTAGATAGAAATACACAGTGACCTACATAGTGGCCATATCCAACTACAAAACATGGAATAAGAAACATACAGATTGGGAGGCAAACTCAGTAATTCTAGAGGCTGTGCCTGCTATATGTTGAAAGAATTGAGCTGGCAAATGGTACTGGAAAAATACTATTTGGGAGGGAAAGCTTTGTCTGTAGGTCTGAGTCTCCTCTTAACAGATTTCTTCTTGTATCCTTAGCAGTTGTTTAGCTAACAGCTGTACTTTTGCCATCTTCATCAAGTTAAGTCAATGGCTTCTTTGGCAATTATTTAAGTCCATAGGTCAGTGAGGAGGGAGTAGCATTTACCTTAACTTTTTCTCAGCCAAAGTAATATGCTAGAAAATCAGAGAGCTTTTAGTGTAAGCTGAATATACTGATACTGAATCAGATTGCCGGTGAAGCATGGAAAATTCATCCTGTGCAGCTGGGGACCTGACATATTTGTCAAATCACATCTTTGCCTTTCCCCCCCAAAATGATGATGTATCCTGAGAACATCTCCAGTTGAGAGAGAGAATATATGCTGAGGAACGCTAACAAAAGGACTGCAGTCATTTACGAACAGTTACACAAATGTAAAAGGTATGTGTGTATGATAATTAAAGATTCAAAAATTAAGCTACTAGTTAAGTGTTCAGAAACTATCAGGTATTGCCCAGGAAACTAAAGCGAGCATTTGTAAAGCTGTGCAGTGTTTTGGTTTTGGGGTGTTTTGTTTTGTTTTAATCTCCCATTGAGATGTCCATTTATTTCAGCTTTGAAATGCTCCAGGAACTTGCATGAGGCATTTCTGCTGCATGTACTTTCCACGGCCTCAGGACACTGCACCCTGCATGTCCCCCTGACGGCGCTATTGCCTGGCTGGCAGCCGTGCAGGCTTCAGGTACCGGCAAAGCTTCGCAAAGAACGCTTGAAAAAAGCATTTAAATGAATTAAATACAAATTATAAATTAAGCTCCTTGAGGTCTGACTGCAAACACACCCTTGAGTTCCAGTTTCTGCAGTATGGGGCAACACACTAGAAACCAGGAATGGAAAGCTTATGTGGGGGCTGCAATGCCAGTTTGTCCTCACTGTGTGCAGAGCAAATGCACTACCCAAACAGCAAAACACTAGGGAATTCCTTATTTTAATGTATGGATTTGAATTCAGAATGTGCATTTGTGTCTGCCCAGTTTTGATGCTAATCAGTTCAAGCTGAGAAGTAAGCTGAGTTATTAAGATTGATGTTGCTCTTACAAAAGTTGTATTAAATTGAAAACATCTTGGGAAATGAGAAGTCCTTTTCCATTGAGAAAGAGCTTAATTCTGGAGGGAATATAAATTCTGGTCATCTTCTTCCCACTTCTAATCCATGTCAGATTAGTAACCTGGAAGCAAGCTCTGCTCACCTAATTTCCCTTTTTCTGGGAATCTCTGTCTCCGTGGGGCACTAAAGTCACTACCTTGCTTAGGCTGTCACTAGGTTAAAATGTACTCTTCTTCCTAGTCCTCAAATCATTTTTTGTTGTTTATCCTTTTCTTGAGTATCTTATTTCTTCAGATATCTTGAATGGCTCTGCTGGAAAGCGTTTTTTTCTTCATTTCTTTTGAATAAATGGGAAAATAAAACACTTGTTATTTTGAGTCTGTAGATAAGTTCTGAGTAACTTTCTAAGGCATCATGTATTGTCTTCTGGTTTTATTTTATGAATGTGCAATATAACATAAGCTACATAATGTTCAAATGTAATTGAAGAAATGGTTTAATTCTGTAGAATCCATGAGATTTAAAAATCAAATTTATAGGTTGCTGGTGACAATTTTTTTGGTGTCTAATAATATTTTTCATTACAATCTGGTGAAATGTTGTGTCTATTGTGATATGTCAGCAAAAAAACAGTGGTTTTGCTGGGGTGTTCCTCTGCTATTTTGCTTATTTAGAATGGATCCCAATTGTCACTTTTTGCTTAATTTCTGTGTTTTGAGAAACCTATTTAATATATTGCTGCTAGCTAAGGTGCTTTCCTAACTGACTCCTCACCCTCTGATTTTCTCCTCGATTACATCATTATGTCTGTGGACTGAAGAAAGCAGTCTTTCACTTTGGGTGCATTTTCTCTTTTGAGTTTGCAGTCACTGTGCAGTTGTCTTCTAGTTAAATCTCTCTGCATGCATATTTAAGGCTATAAGGCAGCCTTTTGTGGGGGTCTTTGTTTCAGCTGGGTGTTTCTATTCCATGGAAGGGATGTGTAACTGCTCACTTTGCTCACTTTCATGAAGAGGGTGACTGTTCTCATGTTCCAGCTTCAGTGAAATTGTTGGCTAGCTGCTCCCAGAAGCATTTCACTGTGATCATGCCACCAGGTATCCCCAGGCTAGTCACCAGAGGTCAACATCACCTTCTCCAGCTGCAGCACCAACTACCACATCATTATAGGAAGGTTGCTTGTAGGAAAATGTACTCAAAAATGCTTTGAATCTTCAGGCATATTCCTGATCCTGCCACTCTCCAAATTAGGAGAACAGAAGATGAAGGACAGGAATTAGTCATTTCTCAGTGAGAGCTTCTTAAAGGTACCAGGAGGAAAAAAAAAATAAAAATCTGAAGGCCTTTGCCTTTCTGCACATGAAGGAGTTTTTGGTGAGTGCTTTGGGGAACAGTGGCAAAGCCAAGACGATAGAACAGTAGAGCTTGTCTGGAGCCATAGCTGTGTGTCAGAGTTGTAGGTATTCCAGCTAATGCGTGTAGCAGGGGCTCCTGTCAGTTCAATGTGTGCTTCATCTTGGGGATCCCTAGGATTTTCAAGACACACAGGTACTGTCTTTACATTCCTATCTGAAGATGATTTTTACTGTTTCTAGCTTGGAGACGCATGCAATCAGTCTGAAGCCTGACAAACTATTTCATAACTGGATGGAAGCTGAGAAAACTGAAACCCAGGAGGAAAAATCTAATACTGCATCATTTCATAAACAACTTAAGGAATGAAGCCTGGCCTACAGATCAGTGTCCCTGAAGATTTCCTCATACTTGAGTTATTTAAAAGTGACCTCCCTTTTACAGATTTTTTTTGTGTTTTAACTTAATCTTTGAGGCTTTTTCTTGGCTGGAACACTTTGGAAACACTATCTTCCTCCCCTACGTAGCCAGTTATCTCTCTTGATTCAACTTGAAGGACCTTCTGTATATCTGAGACTTTTCTGGAATATTTGTTTGAAGTCAACCAGCAAATTCAGTATTTACTAGAGGAATGACAGAGATTGCATCACTAATGTTTATGCTTTACCTAATTACCTCTGGGAATGTGATATAAATAGTCTTCCTCCTAAGAAATCTGCAGAAACTGTATTTGTTACTACAGATACAGTAACCTGTGGGTCAATTCAGCCATTCCACATTTAATGAAGTTTGAAAGAGGTGAAGAAAGCAATGCTTTCAGTGAGAGTATGGATCAGAGTTTCAAGTGTGCATTTATACATGCATGTATATTTATAAAATATATATATATGCATATATATAAAACCTCTTTTCAGCTTTTAACTTTATCAGCAAAGTCTAACATAAACATTGAAGATGGGAGAGACAAAAGAAAGATGGATCTATTGAAAGGCACAAAACAAGATTGCCTGGGTGATCCTGGGTGTAATTATCAAGGCTTTAACTAATCAAGGTTTTCATTATTGCTGTTGCTTCTGCTGGAAAGTTGCTCATCATTTCCTGTCTTTCTGTTTTTTCATAATGACTTAATGTTCTTGTCAAATTCAAAGAACTTGAGCCAGTAGTGTGGTTTTATTTGTTAGACTGGAAGAAAAAGGAACAGTAATTGACAACTTTTTTTTTTTTAATCCTGTAGGCGTTCTCTCCTCAGTTGTTAAGAAACATGCCGGAAGAGGGAATGCAGACTGCTCTCCATTCTGGATGGGCTTGCCTGTATTGCTGTCTTCCTTTTCAGCTAATGCAGCTTGGCTATTTCTGGGCTGTAAGCAAAGGGCTGTGGGCTGTGCCACGCAGCTCTCCCAGCTCCTCAGGACTAGCCCAGTACCTCTGCACAGTGATGCCTTTTGTGGGGGAGTTGTACTGTGATGCACGGACTAAAGGCTACACCACTGACATGCTGTGGAGGTAATGGCAAAATACAGGTGCAGGGCAAAAAAATTCCCTTCCCGTTCTCTGTTGAAAGCTGGTGCATCACTTTTGGTAGGCTGGCACTGCTGCATGTTTTCCCAGTGTAAGCCTGGAGGAGGTCTATCTATCTGGCATACAGTGCTGTTGTAAGGGCTGAGCTGAAATTCCATGAATAGCACGAGCTGGCACAAGCTGATGGTTCTGCTGAGGGAGGTGGCTCTGCTGCCCTCTCCTCCCTCCTTCCCTCCCTGCAGATATTTCTGCAGCTGTGCAGAAATGTCTGCATGGGTAAGCTAAAGCAGCACTGAGCGTGGCCCTGGGCAGTCACACGATCCCCATTCATCCTGCATGGTGTGGTGCATCCATGGCACAGCTCTGGGCTGGTCTGCACCTTCCCTGTCACACTCGGGCTCACAGACACCACTGACTGTGTCCTGCTGGCAGTTTGGGTGAAGCTCTGTTGATGGCAAAAAGGGAGTTTAGCTGTATGGATACAGGCTGTTCTTTGCAATATGTGAATATGAAAAGTAACTCTAGTATCATATCCTTGTTCTTTAAATTTTGATAAGCTGCCTGTGACTAGTTGCTTATCCTTCAATGCACATAAGTGGGATTTTTTTTTATTCCTGCATCTCTCTATTTGCTGCACCAAAAAGTAAATAAGTAACAGAAATAGAGAGCATTTGAAAACTGGTTTCATAAAGTGCTATACCTTGTTCTTCTGTTCCAGCCAAGCATCTTTGTACAATTACCACTTGAAACAGGAAGAACACAAACACTGAACAGTAACCCCAATGTCCCCTGAATTTGATGCTTGATGTATAAATAGAAGCTGCGGAATTCACTCACTTATAACTAGTGTCAGGACCTGAGATCTGCTTGATAAATCTGAGAAGCAAACACTTCCAGGGTTGAAACCATACCAGATTTTGTACTTGTAAGAGTCCACTTACCTTTAAATAAGACTTCCTTCAGAATGCTGGAGCAGAGTCTCTTTGAAGGAAAAGAGAAAGAAGCTCTCCTGGAAGGATTGCTTTTGTTACATACAGAGGCCAAATTTTTGCACATGCTATGTGGTACTTTCTTCTGAAAGTTCTCTGCATAACCTCTGCTTCAGAGTAGGTCCTAGTCAGCGGAATTGATTTCTTAATGAAAATGAATGGTCAGATTTCCTGTTGCTTGTGTTCCCCAAATACACTGCTCTCCTTTCTCCTCAGAACTGCAGACTTTACCTTCTTCTATATGATTATTGCCTTTTACATAGTCATTCTTTTATTACTGCAGGATGAAAGCATGGCATAGAGCTCTTAACTTTTCCATTAGGAATCCATTCAAGCTAAAAGTGGATCTGGTTTTGTAAGATAAAATCATGGAAAAGTTGTATTTTATGCTGAGATAATTTTGAACTGCTTTGTTTCAGAGCCTGCTCTTGACATCTAGGCTTCCTGTTAGCCTAGCAAAGGTCTTACAGCTTGTCTATTTTCTTCATTCTTTTTTTCACAAACTAAAATAGCCTAGCAATGTAGACATTGTCAGCATTACCTTTGTTCCTTCTTTGTACTTGTATTTTACACAATAATCTCCAGGAAACAATCCTATTCCTGGAAATTCATCACATTCCATGCAGTTGTGTGGCCTCTCTGATGGTGTTTTTCAGCTGCTTTAAGTGATTCAGTGGAACTTCAATTAGTGTTTGAGATTCCTGGAAGGTTTGTCATATACAGTGCTCTAAAACCACAATACAGCAGATGAAGGCAGGCAAATTAAAATGCACAGTTATGTCTCTTAAATTATTATTAACCAGTCTATAGGGGAAGTTCTTTGAAGCACTGAGTCTTAAACCTCTCAAGTGTAGGTACATGATCAGCCTCTTGCTGAACAGTCAATGCACCACGTCCATTTCAACCAATGGCTAGACCAAAACAGCTTTCATGGATATTTCATCCCCTTAAATTTGTGCTATAGTAAACAACCCTATCTCTTATCTCAGCTGCATGAGGGCTTGTTTTATGTATGTATATGGAAATACATACAGCCTTAATTCTGAATTCTGTGGTAGTTGTTCATATTGATAGAAAGTTTTGGCAATGCAGCCTGGACTCCTTGGACAAGTCCTCAAATCACATCTGCCACAAACACCTCCAGCTGTGAGAAGGGAAGACTGGAGCCCTCAGACTATCATATTTTACCTGTGTGAATGGCTCACAGCCAGATCATGGAGGATAAAAAAACACTTCTAGAAAAAATGATAGAGACTTTTAAATGTGAAGTCACTGAGTTGGCTGAATTTGGTGTAGTCCCAGAGGAGACCAAACCACTGACAAGGAAAGGTGAGAGTGAAAATGGAAATATCAGGTGCATGCTAAGGCCTGAATAGGCATGACATTGAACTGACAAGTAGTGCAGGCCACAGATTGCTATTATTTATGTCCCCTCATCACAAATGCTTATTCCAAACAGTCTTCCCAAACACTGCAATGAAATACATGGTCTTTTTGGCCATTCCTCCACTGAAGTAGAGGGAAGTAGCCAGAGCTGAAATTGTAAAGATCCCAAAGATGTTTTTGGTGGGATGTTTTTCCAATAGTTCGATTCAAACGATTCCAGTGAACCGCAAGGAGCAAATAAAAACTGGAAGTGAGTTGGCCTGGATCTGTGTCATGGATAAGCAGCAGAACACGTCCCCATTCATCCTCTGCGTGGGCCTTGTCTCGTGACACAGAAAATGCTGGGAGCTGTCTGCTGCCATTGATTGCCCTCCTGACTGAAAGAACAACAGCAGTCTAAAACGAGACTGATGTGCCGTGTGTTCCAGGGCAGCAGCATGGCCCATGATGCGCTTTCACACCCAGCAGGAACACTTACACCAGGACATGCTTTCACTGCTGACTGGCTCGGTGATGATTGGCACTGTAAATCAAAAAATAATATTAGTTTGATCTAACCAGCCTCTACTGTCTTAGGAATCTCCCAACTCTTGAAGCTACTGAGTTTATACAGAAGTCACCAGCACATTTTGCTCCTTATCAGCCATGTCTGTGTCAGGTAACCCTCTGTGCAGGTACGTTATGGACTAGCTCGTCCCCAGTCCTGAGATTTCCTCTCCTGCTAATCAAGAGGAATTTCAGGGAATCATTTAGATGTGTAGTGTTTTTTTCAGTGTTATTCTGTTCCAGCAATTAACACAAAACATTGTTTTAAGTTTCAGCAGCCAAGACTGCTGCTGTAATTTAGTGCTTTCTAATTTTGAGGATCTATTCTAATCCTGCCCCTTTCCCAGCTAAGAAGCATACCATATGTCTGATTACTCAGGTTCCCATGCAAAATAGGAAATTAAAAATTCCAGATGATTAACAAACATTTCTTCTTGTTTATTTTGAGATGACTGTTTTAAAATACCATGAAAAAAATTTAGACTTCTTTTTCAAACATTTACTTTATCGTTTAGATGTGTAAAAGATATTTTCATTAAGAATGTGCTGTTTGTGCTTTTTAGAATATGATTTATTGATACAGCTTTGCTACCAGTAAAAGATGTGCAATTAACTGTTTAAAGACAGTGGACAAAAGGGTGGGTAATTCCATGGTGGAATTTCAGAGGCAAGAAACATAGACATAGACAATCTAAGCCTGTTTAATGACAGTGAAAGACTTGAGTCCTCTCAAAACATCCAAGCCCAAAGCATGATGCAAGTTGGCCCACCACTGACAGCCTGTTACCTCTTTGCAGGACATCAGCCAGGGGAGCAGGTCATGTAACCAGTGCCTCTGTCCAGTACAGCACGGAGCCAGGATACTGGTCAGGAGAGCTCACTGCTCTGGCAAGTAGACTCCCCTAAAAGTAGAGCTTCTTTGTACTAATATAGAGATTCTGTGCATGAGTTTGTTTATGAGCAGACTAATTTGGTGAGAGGCAAAAAGCTGTTGAGAAAACCAAACACTTGAACTAAGCCATCTCTCTGTGAGTGCTTGAACAAGGGGAAGAAATATTGTTCCCATGCAGAAGAAGGCCTGTATGTATGTCTCATCCAGCTACAGCATTTCAGTGGAGAACATCAGAGGGGGAAGGCTGGGAGGCAGCACTGGGGCAGCCTCAGCTGCCACCTGAGGACAGCAAGCTGCTTGATTCTTGTCCTAATATTCTCCCAGAAGTGTTTGTCCTTGTTAGAGCTTGTTTATTCAATCACGCCCATAAATACGCATTGGTAGTAATAAACACCTCCGTTATTTTGAAAGTAGCAGTTAGTAATTATAAAGTGCTTGCTCTGAGCTCGAGCTGCTGGGCTTCATCCGTCCTGCCTCATGTGAGCTACCCCCACTCGTTGCATCATGTCTAAAATTAGATAAGATGCTGTATCCCATGAAGTGCATGGCTCGGTAGCTCAGAGCTGCAAGAGCCACACCAGGTGCAGCTGTGTAGCTCCTCAGTTAGGAAGAGGTTTTCAGACAGATCACTGAAGAAAATTTAATGATGATCAGAAGTGTTATAGAGGTAAAGCAGCCTTCACATCCAGGAGCTCCAGTTCAGCCAAAGGTCAGAAAAATGGGAGCCAGTTCTATTTCTTTTAGGATGTCTTTAGCTCTGTATATTTTCAACAATATCTGGGGACAGCTGTCAATAGCTCCTCTATAGAGATATCTACTTGGGCCAAATTCTTGGTATCCCTGAGGTAGTTGTACTGCTTTCATTGTAATCATACCAGTGATGAATGTGGCTCTTCTTCACTTAGGAACAACAAAAAAGCTCATGAGATTAAACATCCTTTCATTTTCCTTCTGATTAAAGTAAGTTTTAGTACTTGGAAAATGCTGTGGGCTTAAGAAATGGTTGTATTCTTCATCCTGCTCTGAAGCTTTGCTTCAACTTCCCAGACTCAGCCCATAGCATCCATGCAATTAATTTTAGAAGTCTGTATTCCCAGTGCACTGCTATTATTTGAACATCTGGTGCACTTAAAAATCATATTTCTAAAACACGAATCTGGAGGGAGAAGGGTTAAAATATGAAACTAAAGAAAAACAAACTAGAGAAACGATAAATTCTGACGGAAACTTCAAGCAGCTAAGTACTAGAGCTGTCAATTCATGCATTTTGGATTTGAGTTAAATCACAGAAGTGCTTTTTCACTGCTTCGTCTGCAAGCAATTTAGGTTTTCTATGTTAGCAGATTATACTGTTTTCAACAGTTGTTGGAGAGATGACTGATGAAAAGCATTTTCATTGTGGGTGTGCTTCCAAGTACAGACAGAGCTGTGGCACTCAAACCCGATTTCTTACCCTGATCTCTCCTGAAGCTGAGGGTAAATGCTCTGTCAAAGGTCTGTGCAGCACTCAGACCCAGCTGCAGGGTGGCTCTTGGGACCCCAGACTTCAGTGTACGGGATGGCTTTGTGGTTTTTTAGGGTGCATCCTCAAATCATGAAGGGATTGGAGAGGGAAAAAAAACCCAAAAACAACAGAACTCTGAGCAGGAATCAGTAGAAGATGAGGACTGTATCCTGGCAGTTGGTGCTGAGAAAGGGCTTTGGGATTAGGCATCCTGAACCTGGATCCCACATGAGAATCAGCCCATGGCTTCATGAACAGAGGATAACTGCAATGTTATCAATGTAAGCACTGGCAGTGCAATCTGTCCTCAAGTTCAACTGAGTTTGGAGGCTGGTCTGTTATAGTTTTAACTCGGGTGCAAATCAAACCCTGCCCCTGGTTCTGTCACAGTGGAAGTACTGCAAGGTAGCACTCAGTAGCAGCAACGACACTTGGAGAATTGGTAAGTTATGAATGACAGAATAAGACAATTGACAGTAAAGGGCAAATGTACTAAATTTGGAGTAATGACTTCTTATGTGATCTGCCCCACATTCCTCTGGAGTCAATAAAACAGTGAAATCAAAGCATGTCAAAAATTTGCAGTCATGCAGGTGGTCAAATCCAGTTACTGTTGTCTGCCATTTTAGTAAAAGGAGTACTCCAAAGTTACTTCGGATTTCACTGGCCGAGATAGCCTTAAAATAATGCAGGAATTCACAAATAAATTACCCTTTTCTGCAGGCAGCAGAATTTTTACACTAGAGCAAAGGTATGTAGAGCCCCAGTTGTGTGTTTACTATCAAATGTGTATTTTTGGGCCTTCTTCCACCAGGACTGCACTAAGCCTCCATCCCCAAACTCAGCCGCTCTCTTTATCCATGGACCATGTTTCCTACTGCAGTATCAGTGACCTTGCCTGTAACTATTCTTCACAGGGGAAGCTTAGCTCAGTCCTCCAAGTACTGCAGTAACTCTGAACAAAAATAACCCAAAAGTCCACAACAGGAAACGTTAACAATGGCAGGATTACTGGCCACCATGTCACCGTAAAATAAACGAGCAACTCAGAGGGACTTCAGGGAAAAGCAGCACCACAATTAAGTAACAGGAGGGACTGACTTATGAGGAAAGATTAAATGAGCTAAGCGATGATGAAAGGGTGAATGGAACAACTGCCTCCAAATGTTTGAAAGAAGAAACCATCCAGGACAGGGAGGGATTCTCTAAGCTGCTGCCAGGAGTTAAGAGTAATGGAAAGAAACCAATCAAATGAACACAGCAGTCACCGTAACTATTTCTTCAGCTCAGAAAAAGAAACCCAGTGCTTTTGTCCATGTGGAAACCTTGTTCATTTGTCCCGTTTTATTTTTTAGCCATATCCCACAAAGCAGGGGGGGAACACTTAAAATTATGTAATGGTGCAATATTGCTGAAGTATTTTAGGCTGGCACCTCTGAGGAACTGTGAGGGATCTGTGCTGGCATCCTCTTCCAGTTCCTGTCAGACTAAGACACTCATTTCTTGAGGTGCCTCAGAAAGCCTTGAGGTTTCAGCTGAGAAAAGCATCTCTGCACAACAAAACACTTAAGCAAACACTTCAGGCAAATGATGAACTGAACTCCCACAGCTATAAATCACATCCATGATTCCCAAATGAGGAACCTGAGTCTGCCCTCAGCAGTCCCTGAAGCAGACGGTCACAAAGTACACAAAGTCAGAATTCCCCACGCTATCCCTGGCAGACCTTTGGTTCACATCCCAATGTAGTTAATATTTTTGCAGCAAAACAGCTGTGAGGCATCATGTTGTGTTTGTTTTCATTAACTCCTCCCCAGTGGGCTTATATATTTGTATTTCCTTGTTTACATACTTACAGTGTCCCTAGGGGGATACACACACTGCCCCTAAGGTTAGGGGCAAATTATTGGAGGGCAAGTACCTCCCTCTGATGCAGAATTTGTCCCGTCTCTTCGTTCTGCCAGAGATGTAAATCTTTCTGGAACTGTTAGACAAAAGTCTCTTTAAACATGTGGTTTCTTTCAGCAGCAGTTTTCAGACTGCGCTTTTTGAATTGCTGGGCCAGAAGTTTGTGTTTCCAATTGTCACTCTCTGAGACACTTTTCCATTGTTAATATGGTCCCAGGCGCTTTACAGCCTGCTCGCTTTATAGTCGTTCCACGGCCCTGCGTGTTGAGGTCCAGATCTTTCCATCATAATTTGTGCTGTCATTCTCCCGACGCGGCGCGAAGCCGCCCGCCCGCAAG